TAATATATCAAGGGGTTTAGAAAAAAGTCTGTATAACTGTTATTTCCACAAAATTTCCAAAAGCCTGTAATTACGGCAAAATCAATCTAGGGGAACCAAACTTAAACTCGAACTGTAACTCAATAGACTCTAATACTAAAAATAAACTCAGTATGTGAAGGGGTTTAGAAAAAAGTCTGTATAACTGCTTTTTCATGAAATTTTGCCCCTAATTTCGGCAAAATTCAGCGGAGCGGAACCAATCATAAACTTGATCTGTAACTCGTCATAGAAGACTCACAAACTAAAAGCAGCTCAATAAGTGAAGGTGTTTAGAGAAAAGTCCTTATAACTGTTATTTTCATGAAATTTTCAAAGTCATTATCTATTTATAGATCTTGTCTTGCTTATCATTTTTGCTGTTTAGATTTCTATCTATCTGTTATAATCGGTAATAATTGTCATTGAAGGACAATAACTCCAATAATAAGTTAACTGATGATTTCAGCCAACTTGTGAGCTAAGCCAACTTGTTTGTAGATCTTGTCTTGCTGATCATTTTTGCTATGGAAAGTTTCTCTCCATCTTTTATAGTTTTCAAGATAAAACGCAAACATGAAAAAATTGGGAAATAACTCCTATTAAAGAAGTAGTCTAACAGTTTTGATGTAAATGGATATTGGGTAGATTTCAACATTCTGAACATATCTGCCCATGTCAGATTTTTTTTATCGATAGTGGTTTTCAAGGTAATAGACAAAACTTGCATTTACCCCTATGTTATATTTTTAGCCATGTTGGTTGACAGGCAGGGATGTCTGACACAATTTTTGAAACGATGATACCCCAAGGATGATTGTGACCAAGCACTTTTGTAGGAGATGATTTTTGTAAAAGTTAACAGAGGACAACAACTGACGACGGACGACAGATGCTAAGTGATGAGAAAAGCTTACTTGACCTTTTGGGTCAGGTGAGCAAGTAATAATAATAAAAATAATAGACAGAGTACCTAGCTTGTCTAACTGCTTAAGGCACTGTCTTGGAAAACAAGTGGACATTTAAAATCAGTTAAAAGGGCAGTTTGAAACCTTATCCACCAAATGGACTTCCTCTCCCATGTCTTATGTATAATTACCAGTTTTCTTAATTAGGAAGAAGCTCAAATGCAGAGTAAGCCCATCTGAAGATGAAAGTTGGCATTTACTAAATTTTATCAACGGTACAAGGACATCATTTGTAAATATAAATCAACATGCAGACATCTTATATGTTCAGGTATTTCACATCCAATCTTTTATGGTAATATTCTGTACAAAGCACAAAAATGTCATCATTCACCTCAAAAGCTAACCAAACCTTTAAACAGACTTATTCAGAAGGGATATAGTTACGATACTGTTGTCAGGTCATTAAAGATGGCATATTTTGGAATTAATATTGATTCACTCATAGGGTCTTTGCATCGGAAATAAACACATTTATTCTAAAACCAGTTGTTGGCATGATACAGGTTATGTTCTTCTCATATATTTTATGATGGTATGATACAAAACCCCTAACGGGAGGGATTGTGCTTGATGATGAAGACAGAACCTTTCAATCAGTTTAATTGAGGTCTGGAGCTGGCATGTCAGTAACTGCTAGTAGTCCTTTGTTAATTTATGTATCATTGTCATTTTGCTCTGTTTCTTCTGTTACCTATTCTGACATCGGACTCGGACTTCTTATAAACTGAGTTTTACTGTGCGTATTGCTGTGTGTTTGTTTATTCTACATTGGCTAGAGGTATAGGGGGAGGGTTGAGATCTCACAAAACACGTTTAACCCTGCCACAATTTTTGTGCCTGTCCCAAGTAAGGAGCCTCTGGCCTTTGTAAGTCTTGTATGTTTTTTTAATTTTAGTTCATTTATATGTTGAATCAGATGTGGATACTAAAAAATTCCAAAGATCTTTTAGAGTACATACAATCTAAGACTCTCTCATCTTGCAATAGTATTAAAACATTTGATTTTTCTACACTTTACACAAGTATTCCCCATTCCAAACTAAAAGACAAATTGAAAGAGTTGTTATTACTTTGTTTCATTAAAAAGAATGGCGAACGTAGATACAAGTATCTTGTCTTGGGGAGGGATAAATCCTACTTTGTAAAGAATCACTCTGATTCAAACAAAAAATTCTCTGAAACTGACATTATCAAGATGCTTGATTTCTTGATTGACAACATATTTGTTACGTTTGGAGGACGTGTTTTTCAACAGACTGTCGAAATTCCAATGGGAACCAATTGTGCCCCTCTTCTTGCCGACTTGTTTCTTTATTATTATGAGGCTGACTTCATACAGGAACTTCTTAGGAAGAAAGATAAGAAGTTAGCCATATCCTTTAACTTTACATTCCGCTATATAGACGATGTTCTCTTACTAAATAATACAAAATTTGGTGACTATGTTGAACGAATCTATCCCATCGAACTAGAGATAAAGGATACTACAGATACAGTTAAGTCTGCCTCATATCTTGACTTACATCTAGAAATTGACAATGAGGGTCAGTTGAAAACAAAACTTTACGACAAAAGAGATGATTTCAGCTTCCCAATTGTGAACTTTCCATTTCTATGAAGCAACATTCCAGCAGCGCCTGCATACAGAGTATATATCTCCCAATTGATACGATATTCCCGGGCTTGTATTTCCTATCATGATTTCCTTGATAGAGGATTGCTGCTCACAAGGAAGCTATTAAACAGAGAGTTCCAAATGGTGAAGTTGAAATCATCCCTTTGTAAATTTTACGGACGCCATCACGAGTTGGTTGACCGTTATGGAATAACCGTTTCACAAATGATATCGGATATGTTCCTTATGTCCTAACTACAATACCCTTCCCTTTTCAAGAATGTGATCTACCGAATTAAGACTATTTACCGGATTTGTAATAGCATAAGCAACACGACGGGTACCACATGTGGAGCAGGATCTGCTTACCCTTCCGGAGCACCTAAGATCACCCCCAGTTTTTGGTGAGGTTCGTGTTGCCTAGTCTTTGGTTTTCTATGTTGTGTCATCTGTACTATTATTTGTCTGTTTGTCTTTTTATTTTTGGCCATGGCATTGTCAGTTTGTTTTTGATGTGTTGAAGACCCATTTGTGGCCTTGGACTGTTTTCTGCTCTTTGGTCGGGTTGTTGTCTCTATTCGACACATTCCCCATTTCCATTCTCAATTTTATTGACAGAGATAAAAGAATTGCAGAATAGTACTAAAACAAAACAAATTTATGATAAATGAACCAGACCACAAAACTCAACTGAGGTGACAGGTCATTTTAGCCTGAATTATGAAATGTATGTTGGGCCTGCGACCAAAATGATGCCAAATTGGTTTCACTAAATAAAAATTGCTGTAGAATTGATAATCTGTACAGGTGTATTCTGAGCATTGTACAAAAGTGTGTCTACCTGTACTGATAATGGCAATGCTGTATGAAATTTACTTTGAATCAAAGTGATCAATATAACATCATTTCTCATAAGTAGGTTAAGACTTAATGAGCTTGCTTTCAGTCACTCTGAGCATTCATATTTTCACTATTGTTTGTTAACTACTGTGCTCTATCGTTGAGTTAAGTACTACTTCCCAGACTAGCTTTCATTGGTTATTCAATAATGTGCCAGCTTTAGTTATTCCCCTGACTGTCATATTGCAATGCTATGGTTTCATTTGGATAGGAGTGTTGCTCATTGCAGATTTTTTATAATCACTACAATTTTTATTCACAATTTGTTAAGACATCTGTTATTGTTGAAGGCTGTATATTGACCTCTACATGTCTATCGGTTATTTGTTTTACTGGGTTACTATAATTTATTTTAAGACTATTAAGCCTAAAATGACTAATTTTACATGAAATAATATTTTGAATAAAACATTGAACAATGTCATCAGGGAAAACCTTTATTTAAGCTTTAGTAAAGTTTATAATTTTACTACCTTTTATTGTGAGAATAGTTTCATCTGCAAGTGAATTCAAACTAAATATTATGAGAGTAGCTTAATACAGTAAACGGGATACTTTGGTGTTTTCATCAAAACAGTAGTGGTTAAATTCGGCGTGTCAAATTTTGACACTTTGGATTAATCAAGTACTTCAATTTTGCCAAGATCATGAAAAAAGAATTCAATGTTCAATATTATTATGATTATTTGTTTTAATACACTGAATGTCCTTATTATCTTCTATATTCATGTTTTGTTCATTGCAGATTTTAATCCAATATTGAAATAGCTGCATGTTTCTAGTAATATTAAATTTACAGTGACTATAATAATCCTAAAATAAAGCAAATTGTGGGGAATAATTACTCTTATACTATTCTGATAAAACCTCAATGTCTTCAAAACATGCAAACTTCTAAACATAATTAGTTTATGCTGCACTTTAATTTTTATCATCCAAGTAATTATGCATTACAGCATTATCTTTGAATTGTCTCTATCAATAATAGTATGTTGGAGACAGTATGACACATAGACATGTATCTCGCCAGAAAAACATCGCACAACATGTAGAATTCTTTAATGTAACACTCCTTGCATGCTCATTCATTTTTCCAAAACATGATATCTTGGAGTCCACATTTAACATCAAAGGTCCATATCAAATACAAATGTTTTTCACATTCAAATCTCCACACCACAAGACATGCTAATTTTGAAAAAAACCATCATTCATAAACTTATCTATCAAAATGTCAATTTAACAATGGCCATTCTCATTTCAATATCAAGCTTAAATCTGGTCAACACTTTTGTCAATGTTTGAAATGATGAAACTCTCATTCATTTTAATGTCTGATATTTGAGATGAAAATACAAAGCCTAGCCCAATGATTGTAAATATCACACCAGTAATACTGGTTAGTGATAAGATCATTTCTTTCCAATTTTTAGTTTTCAGTAGCTCTTGAATAATCAAAATAAATAAAAGGAAATTGTGTTATAGAAAAATCTCACCTGTCTGGATGTTATGGAAAAATGGCTGATTGATAAAAATCCAGTTGTCTCCCTTTACAGATACACTGAAAAATAAAATTAACAAATCTATATCTGATTATACTTCTATTTACAAGAAAAATATACAAAGTTGTTTGCATCTTTAAATATTTTCACAATATTGAACTGTCCAGTTTTATTTTCCAATATTTGTGTAAAACATTAATTATTAAAGTTAGTTATCAAATTGATGCATATAAATTTGAGCAGACAAATTAATATACATAAAAATTTGTGAAGACCAAGAACTTGAAAATAGATGTGATGATACAAGTTTAAATAAAAGAAGAGTGTGTCTGAGGATATGAATGCCCTGCTAAATTTTCCAAGTTAAAAAGGGGCATAACTCTAGAACAGTAAATACTGCCCAATTCAAACTCTGTCTGCGTGTGGTTGATTTAGCATTGTGTACGAGTTTCATAAAATTTGGATGAGGCAAACTTAAGTCAGAGTGCGGATATGAAAAAAATTCATGCAGTTTTCCAAGTTACAAAGGGCATAACTCTAGAATGGTATGTGACTCACTGCCCAAATTCAAACTCTATCTGCTAGTTTTGGTTCTTAGCATTGTGTATGAGTTTCATAAAATTTGCTTGAGGCAAACTTAAGTTAGAGTGCAGAAACAAAAATGGGATGGATGGTTGGATGTTCACAGGTAACACTTAATGCCCCATTGCCTACGGGTTTTTATTGTTAGCAGCAACAATGTGTGATGCAAAACCTAATAGGTAACACAATCTCTTGAATATTGTATCAAATATATATACCTATGTGCTTTGTATCGATCTGTTGAGTTAAGCCCTTTCAACTGATTTTTTTAATTTGTTCTTATGTTCTTTTGTAACAAGACTGTCACAGGTTAAGGCGCCAACAAACATGTTTAACTCTGCCACAATCTGTATATGCCTGTCCAAAGTATAGAAGCCTGTAATTCAGTGGTTGTCCTTTGTTGCTATTTATCCTATTTGTTTTTCATTGATGTTTTGTACATAAATCAGGCCGTTAATTTTCTTGTTTGACTTGTTTTACATTTGTCATTTTGAAGGCCGTACGATGACCTATGGATGCTAACTTTTCATAAATTGGTCGACCTATAGATGTTAAATTTTCATAATTGGTCGTTTATGTGGAGAGTTGTCTCATTGGCAATAATACCACATCTTCTTATCTTTATATATTTTTTGTTTGAATGTCTGTTTTTTTTCATGGGCATTGGTAATTGATGTAGTCTTTGTACCATGCAGTATATTTGGCAAATATGTATATATGGCTTCCTTTACTTTTACTGTAAATGTATGTTCTAAATAATTTAAGGCCCACAATGCATAAACATCTGCACAACCTACAGATTTTGAAATTGAAAAATTTGAATATCAATATCATGTTTCTCATTTTAAATTCTCAAATTCATCCTACAAACCAATGACATAATATTTAACTGTCACATTAAAACCTTGAAAATATTTCTAATTTCCACCACTATTGATTTTGATCTGAAAGTTTCAATTGGTATTTTGTAAATTCTGTCATGTTAAGGACATATAGATTATAATAAACAATTAATTTCCCCATAGGCGACAATGATAGCCTTTTTCGAGATACAGACTTTAGAAAGCTGATTTTTTTAACGAAACCTTGCTTGAATTAAAGAAAAGTTATTAGGACAGTATTTTTTGGTCCAAAAAATATAGGTTCGCGTTGCTTTTCTTAGCGTAAATTGTACTTATCTCCCATGCCTATCAATTTTGCACTTAAAAATACGTGTCTCATCCTAGCGTTTAAAAGACATCTCAGTTCCGTTAGGGCTAAGGCAAATAATTTATTTGGCCTTTGGTATAATGCAGAATGCACGAAGTCTCTAATTACAAAAAATAACGGGCGCACATATCAACCAATCAGGATTAGCTATACTCTTAATTCTGAATACCATGTTATGCTCATAAAATGGCTGCGCCCATAAAATCTAATGGTGTATTGTAACCTATACGCTATTTAATACTTTCTAGAATCATGCAATTCATAGTTCGTTAGATGCATAAATATATATGCCACACAAAAATCATCTTCAAAACGTTCTGGCATTACTCTCTGAATTTTCACAATTTTTTATCAGAGGTAACCCCAGTCAAAAAATGTGAAAAAAAAAATTCTGATTTTTTTAGTAAATGCGGTACTGCTAAAAAGGGCCTGAAGATAATGTCCACTTTCTCCAATGATTCTTTATATGTCATCAAGTACTGATTATATTGATAACAAAACCGATCCAATATGTAACTACTACGGTGAATTTTGAACAACAGTTTTAAATGAAACCATTTTCGTAGAAAAGTACATTTTTGAAACAGACTATAGCATTTCAAAATATGAAAAATGTGTAAATATTTGTGTTGAAACAGCGAAAACTATTCGTTAACTACAAAATGTCATGCCTATTCTAATTTTTATAGTCTGCCATTCGAGTGAACATTTCAATGTTCGAAGGGGATCATTTCTGTACATTTTCACTGAATTTGGTAATTTCGATAACAGCACTTGGATCGAGATTGTCATGTTTAAAAATCGATTTGTATATCCAAACTCTAGACGTGTATGTGCTTTTTTCAAACAAATCAGCAGAAGTTCAGAAAATGACATATTCTCTCCACAGTAAGTCAAAAGTCGAACCCACCCTTGTTTCTAAGGTAAAACGCTATACAAATATGAAACAGACTATAGCTTAAAAACTAGTTAATCAATAATTCATTTGTCACCAAAAAATACGGTTTCACATCAAATATCCAGTAAAATTACTGTTTTTGACACTTTTTGAGCACTATGATAAAGAAATGTCGACGCTGTATAGATTATAATAAACAATTAATTTCCCCATAGGCGACAATGATAGCCTTTTTCGAGATACAGACTTTAGAAAGCTGATTTTTTTAACGAAACCTTGCTTGAATTAAAGAAAAGTTATTAGGACAGTATTTTTTGGTCCAAAAAATATAGGTTCGCGTTGCTTTTCTTAGCGTAAATTGTACTTATCTCCCATGCCTATCAATTTTGCACTTAAAAATACGTGTCTCATCCTAGCGTTTAAAAGACATCTCAGTTCCGTTAGGGCTAAGGCAAATAATTTATTTGGCCTTTGGTATAATGCAGAATGCACGAAGTCTCTAATTACAAAAAATAACGGGCGCACATATCAACCAATCAGGATTAGCTATACTCTTAATTCTGAATACCATGTTATGCTCATAAAATGGCTGCGCCCATAAAATCTAATGGTGTATTGTAACCTATAGTGCAATAATTAGGGAAGATAACACCTTCAATATTTTTAGGCATTTGCTGCAATGTTACTACATTAAACTGTTATTTCATACCTCTTCTATTTATATGAAGAATGCTCATGATGTTATAATGAATTTTAATAACAAAGACTATTCCTATTTTTTTTAGGATTGCATAATGTCAACTCACAGTTAAAAGTTAATGATGGAAAGAAGGTACATTATTCTATCATAACAATGTATATATATCAGGGATATATCAACTTTTAATCTCTTTTGTAATAAAAACATATAAGAATATGATAAACATATAAAATAATTTGTAAAGGTTCCATGGAACTCTGTGTGTTAGCTGTGATTGTTGCAATCAGTATTAAAGTGTTATGTTGACTGCCAAAAATTAGTCCTTTTAAAATCAATAAAATATGGTAAAGTTAAGAAAATCATTCTTGTTCTTTAAACTACTATTTCTTGATAATGTAGAAGCTGTTGTCCAAGTTCCAGGAATGATTTGACAAAGTTATTGATGCCTAACAATTTAACCCCAGACTGTAAACTGCAGAAAAAATATCAGTAAAATTTCTGAAAGCTGTTAAAAACATTTTCAAAATTTGGCTTCAGATATTATCTCATAATAATAAAAAAGTTTCAAATTTCATAAAATTCTATTTGACAACATAAGTTTCTTAAAACCTTTAACCCGAAACTGTTTCTAAATGTTAATAAAATGCTTCGCTGAGCGCAGCTGGATACGACCACAGAGGTCCAACCCTGAACAGTTGGGGCAAAAATGAACACAATATACGCGCTTGATACAGGTCTGAATTTGGATTGTAATTAAATATTTGACACATAATAGGTTTCCGACACCGAATAACTGTAGTCAAAGAACTTAGAATTGGTTATATGATTTGAATTTATATTCATTTTTTTGCTTTTGTGCAATACACTATGCTGTTGCCAATTGACCCCCCCCCCCCCAACAAAAAAAATTTTTTTTTTACATCCCCCTTTTTTTGCAAAAAAAATTAATATTTCAAGAAATTTTCTTTTAAATTTCTGAAATCTGAAATGAAAAAAAAATTGCCCCCCACAATTTCATTTTTACCCCCCTCCGCCCCTAATTTTTTTTTAATCCCCCCCTCGTTTTCCAAAAAAAAAAATCTTTCCCTCAAGATATGGTCATGATCTCAATTCAAATTTCCAATGGAGTTTGCAATCATAATTACCAATTTAAATACATAATCATTGCTAAAATTAATATTCCTTTAATAGTAACTTCTAAGAATAAATTGACAGCTAATCACCTCAAGACAATACAAAATTTCTTTATACATAATTTAAAAGCAGTGAAAGGGAGGTAATCCAAACATACACAACATTATACTTTAAATGAGTTTGGATTACCTCCCTTACACTGCTTTTAAATTGTCCATTAACCAGGAAACCTTTGTTTTTCCCCCTTTTGTGCCCCTTATTCCTAAACGGTTTGAGCCACCATACCAAAGTCAATCCTAACCATCCCTTTGTGGTATGGAAACTTGTGGTATAATTTCAGAGAGATTCATACACCTTTCCACAAGTTATTGTCTGGAAACTAGAAAAATGCTTATTTGGGCCCTTTTTTGGCCCCTAATTCCTAAACTGTTAGGACCATAACCCCCAAAATCAATTCCAACCTTCCTTTTGTGGTTATAAACCTTGTGTTTAAATTTCATAGAATTCTATTTATTATACTAAAGTTATTGTCCGGAAACCAAATGTCTTCATACAACAAAAACGACGATGACGTGATACCAGTATACGACCGCAAATTTTTTTGCGGTGGTATAAAAATGCATTTCTTTTTACACCTATATGCTAACTGAACAAACTTTGGTGGATAGTTGCCTCATTGGCAATCATACCTCATCTCCTTATTTTTATAAAGTAATTTAAGACCATTTGTCTTGCCTGCTTTTCTGATCCTGATTGAGTTTATATTGAAGGTCTTTGAAATAAATGTTTTACTACAAGAATCACATATACTTAACATTATCAATGATCCACATGAATGAGGTCAAGGTTTGATGAAACTTGCCAAACAGACCAGGGGCGTAGCTGTCATGAGGCACTATATGCACCAAAAAAATTATGAAATGTAATCTGTGTGACCACTGAGACTTTTCTCACTTGTTGTGTAATTGATAATCATAGTCATATCTTAAAAAAATGCACTCCACCTGGAGCAGCTGCATATGACCGCAGAGGTGGAACTCTGAACAGTTGGGGCAAGTATGGACACAATATTCAAGCTTGATACAGCTCTGAATTTGGATAGTGATTAAATAATTGACACATTATAGATTTCTGACACAGAATAAATGTGGTCAGATAACTTAAAAATTTGAAATGGGACATTTAATCTACTTAATGGTCCAATATCCAAAATCTAATTCCATGGTTAGATTCAGCATATAAAAAAAACCATGAATTCAAACAAAGTTTAATTTTGGACCCTATGGACCTTAATATGGACTAATTTGAAAACAGGGCCCAAAATTAAAAATTTGAATGCACAGTTAGATTCAGCATATTATAGAACCACAAGAATTCAGTTTTTGATGAAATCAAACAAAGTCTAATTTTGGACCCCTTGGACCTCAATGTAGACCTATTTAAAAATGTCCAAATATTCAATATAGTAATACATGGTAAAAACCTCAAACAATTCAAGACTTTAAATTAATCCGCACTGAAATTATTTAAAAGATTTGTATTTATTTGCAATTGAAGATTTCTTGCTGTTGTGCAATACTTTGCTGTTGCGCAAAACTTAGTAAATCTGTTTACAAACTAAATATAATAATTTACACACCCTGTTTGGTGTGTATCTCCTGCCATATCAGTATTTGTTGTTTCTTCATATAGATCAGAAATAATTTATGTTAGAACCAGCTTAGCCAATATTAGAAAAGTCTTGTTTTTGGCCCCTATTTGGCCTGTAGTTTCTTAACGATTAAAGCCACAACCCACAAAATCAACCCCAAACTTCTGTGTGTGGTATGGAATCCCTCCTTTCTGCCCCTTATTCCTGAACAGTTTGAGCCATAACCCCCAAAGTCAAACCCAACCTTCCCTTTGTGGTATGGAACCTTGTGGTACAATTTCATAGAGATCCATACACTTATACACAAGTTATTGTCCGGAAACTAGAAAAATGCCTTTTTTTGGCCCCTTTTTGTGCTATTGAACCGTGTGGTTAAATTTCATAGAGATCCATTCACTTATACTAAAGTTATTGTCTGGAAACCAAATGTCTTCTGACGACGGCAACGACATGATAGCAATATACGAACGCAAATTCTTGCGGTCGTATAAAAATACTATTTACAAATTGGAATGACACAATCTTATCATAAACTGTTAACACAGAGATATGTCTCGCCGTTTTGTTATTTTGATAGTAAAATGCAAATGTTGAAATAAAAATATCAAAATTTTAACATGTAAGTTATGCATATATTCAAAGTTAATGAACCATGACTGAAGGTACAATTCATTGACAATTTTATCAATAACCTCAATCAGAACAGAATGGATATATATGAAAAATGCTAAACTGTAAAACAGGATTTATTGCTTACAAAGGCTATGCTGGGCAATGCAGATTGTATAAATGCTTTACAGATTTCTGATTATACTGTATTAATTCATCAGTCAGATGTAATTACAAATTTATTTTTATAATTCTTAGAAGTATTTTCCCTGTATACTTTCATGATAAAATTACCAGTAAATTTTATGATTTGAGTACATTAAATTCACAAATGTTGAAAAAGAGTTTTCTGTCTAGTTGCTTTGTTCCCAATAAGATTTATGAGGAGGTAGCAGCAAAAGTACCTCAAGATACTTGGTTTTACATCCCCTTGATTACAGTTGCTGAAGTTAAGGACTGCCTTAGCAATTTAAATGTTGCAAAAGCTACAGGCATTGATCAGATCAGTCCTCGCATACTTAAACTATCATCAGAAGTTATTTCACCGTCAATAGCTTATATTATAAATAGGAGTATCACTGCTGGTATATTTCCTTCTGAGCTTAAAAATGCCCGTGTCATGCCAAGTCATAAAAAGGGTCCTAAAGATACTGTCGACAACTATAGACCAATATCTATTTTGCCTACTCTTTCAAAGATTTTTGAAAAGCATGTCTGCAAACACCTATACCGATACCTATTAAAATATAAGCTCCTTCATGCAAGTCAGTCTGGATTTAGAAGCCACCACTCTTGTCACACTGCTTTACTAAAACTTATTGATCAGTGGTTGAAAGCCATTGATGATGGAGAAATTATAGGTATTATCTTCCTAGATTTTAAAAAAGCATTTGATCTGGTAGATCACATTATACTTCTTCAAAAACTGCAGTGCTACAAAATTTCAAATTTATCATGTAACTGGTTTAAATCATATCTATCTCATAGATTCCAACAAGTTGAAAATGGGACAATCAAGTCAAGGGCACTAGAAATAAAATCTGGAGTACCTCAGGGCTCCATATTAGGCCCCCTTTTATTTTTATTGTTCATTAATGATTTGCCCCTTCATATAACCTCATCTGAAGCAGACCTTTATGCAGATGATACTACCATTCACTGCACAGGTCGTAGTCTAAATACCATCCAGGACAGCATTACAAATGATTTAGACAGAATTGAAGAATGGTGCAAGGGAAATAAGATGTATATAAATCCAACAAAAACTACATCTATGGTTATTGGTTCTAGACAGAAACTAGCAAAAACAGACCATGTTCTTAATTTGACTGTTGGTAACTCCCACATTAGAGATGTTAATGGCGAAAAGCTCCTAGGGGTTTTCATTGATGAAAATCTTGAGTGGACAGCCCAAATTGGTACTTTGTGCACAAAAATCAGTACCAGGCTAAATCTTTTGTCTAGGATAAAGAAATCCCTCCCCCTGGAAACACGAAAGTTATACTTTAATGGTTATATTCTCCCTATTTTGGATTACTGTTGTACAATTTGGGGAAACACCAGTGACCAAAATACAAATAGATTAGATAAACTTCAAAAACGAGCAGCTAGAATTATTCTTGAACTTCCTTATGATACCCCATCTAATACAATGTTTAAAAAGTTATCATGGCTTCGATTTACTGATCGTGTAATTTACCACAAGGCCTTATATGTTCATAAATGTTTATATGGATCTGTCCCAGAATATTTGTCTAACAAAATCTCCTATGTTACAAATAAAAATGGAATGCAACTTAGATCAAATACTACCCAATTACTTAATATACCAAAGGCAAGAACAAACACATTTAGAAGATCTTTTTCATATACTGGCCCAACTTTATGGAATAAACTACCAGAAGCACTAAGACACATGTCAAACATAAATACTTTTAAAACAAACTGCTTTAAGTTTTTACTTGAAAATCCAGGAATTATTTAAATGATTATGTATTAATTTTGATTATGTTTTCTAATGTTTATCTTTGTTATGAAGAAATTGTGTGATGCATTGTGAGTGGAGTGTGAGGGCCTCAAGGGAGAATAGTGTTTGTACTAATTGAGCATACCCTCTTGAAATAAAGATTATTATTATTATTATTATTATTATTCCCCTGAACCCCATACCAGGGCTATGTCCTGGTCCTGTTGGGAGCCTAAAGCCACTTCCAGACCTCATTCTACAGCATTCTTATCAGGCCAACACACACTAGAAAGGTTTAATAAACAGAATTTTAAAGTTACTAAACCAAGGTAGGAGATGCAGATCCTTATATTCTGCTTGAAATTTAAAATGCATTTTCTTTTTTTAATTTATGGTGGTTTGTTTAATACTCATTTCTGCTAAAATCTGATTTATGATAAAAGTCCTTTAACTATCAGAAAAATTGGAGGAAAAATTAATCTGACTGAATCACCATTTTCCAATAAATCAAACAGAGGTAAACAAGTCTTTTGCCTTAAAAGATATAATGGCCTTTATCAAACTTTGTCTTAAAATTCTTAGGAAATGCAATAACAAGAATAAAACTCTGAAAACTTGATTGGCAGTTATGGTAATTGGTGGTTAAAAGAATTGCACTGTCCGAACTAAATTTAGCAACCAGCACTGACCTTCTTATGATCATCCTGACTGATTTTTTAATGTTAAATCAAGATTAGAACAGAAAAATTATGTAATGCCATTATTAAAGTTAAAGCAAAGACAATGTCCTTACCATCATGAGATAATTACCCTTCAACTTTTACTCCAAAACACTTCATTCACATGTCAATTTAGTCACCATTTTATTTTCATGTTTGGCATTTGATTGTCAGTACATTAAATTGAGAAAATTATCTTTAAATTGAGTTGTTATGAAACAATACTATGGCAATCAGGATTTAAAAGAGATTTCAAAACAAGATTTGTTACTGCATAAATATAATCCTTTAAGATTGCTGCAAACAATTTAAAAAATGCTTAAGGTACACACACACACACATATATATCTTTCTTATCTTTCCTTAAAATCAAGAAGAGTATGACCACATTAGATGGCTGTCAAATATTAGATTTGTCTTTGTTTAAAATCGTTACCTTATCCATGCATACAGACAACTGAGCAATTAATGGCTGAACTACTTTGGCTTGACAAGATTCAAGAGCTGACACTGAGAATTTGGTCTTGTTATGATCAAAGGTAATAATGGTACAATTTCCCCAATTTTATCCTATCAAACATTTCAAATGTACCTTTGATGAACTCTGCAATCATAGATGGCCTTCTTACATAATATTTTGCAGCACAGAAAGGAAGCAGTAAAAAGGATGTAATTATACATATCTAGTAGCAAATGCAACTTCTAATGCATAGTTATGTGCAATTTATTTTGCAGTAATTATTTTAAGAGAGTATTATGACAAAACTATTGATAATAAATGAGGAAATGGGATATAGTAAAAGTAGGTTACCGGTATAACCATTATACCTGAAAAAGCATTATTTCAAAAAAATTATGTAGCTTTAATTTGGCTTATAAGATTGTATCTTTTAACTAATAATTATTGAAACTGAGTTGAAATAAACATTCATGTCAGATCAAAAGGAATATCCAAATAATTCTTGAAAAATAAATGATGTCACTTTACCAATGAATTTCGATGTAATTTTAAACCATTACATAATTTAGTGCAAGTTTCAGTTGTCCAGCTGAAATTAAACAATAGAAATGGATCTCTCCATTGTT